CGAGGGACATCAACACCGGTGCCCAAAATTTATGAATATTAACGATCGGATGAATTTTTCAGCCGCCCGCTGCCCCCCGGCGACCGCGGATGTAATTTGCTTCAGCTGTCGACACCTGCTCGAATGTAAGCAGCTTTAACGCTAGCTTTACGGAACACGTCAATTTGACGCATATCGAATTTCATCGAGCTTATTCGGCGAATGATACGGTCGACTCTGATTGAAGCGGTTGTACTAGTACGTATCTTAATTGTCTGTCTTTCAGTTTCCGATGTTCATGCTCCGAATGAACGAACATCAAGTTTTCTAGGAACAATAGAACTGTACAATAAACATCCGTAAACGTAGTATTAAGCTGCGACTATTAGCGAATTGAACAAAGATTCAGTTGAACGCGACGATACTATGTTGTAACAGTAGTATAGGTAACTTCGGAGCTTTCAAATTCCGAGTGGAAACTCGAGTCTGAGCTCGACGAACGTGTTAATTACTTCGTCCCTTAATCTTTGTCAGCGACTGTGTACCGATAGTCAACAGCCGTGACCTTCGCGAATCGCTTTCAGCGTGCACTCGCCGTGCACTTCGTAAACGACGACAAACGTGACGGAATCGACGCACGGAGCAGCCAAACGGCTGTTTACTGGGCAGAACTCGATAACTTAAAAGGTATGACCGACACGAAACAATGTTTCAGACAAAAATCGTAGTCCTCTTGTCAACCTAGCACTCGCTGTTTATTGCGCCCTGAAAATCGGTGACGTTTTCCCTTAAGAATTTCCCTTTCCCTTCACTCAGATTATCTGACAGTACGCTAAATCGCGTACGATATATTTTACAAGCTTCACGACAAGTGTCAAAAAATCGGTCCGAACGTGTTCGTTGAGCGTGTCTACCTGCGATTCCCTCGCGGAGTCCCAGAAGCGTGCGCGTAACGACGCGATTCGAGGCGCGAAGATTCGGTCCTCGGCGAGAGGCACGTAGCGGGCCGAGACGGTCGGCCACGTACGCGATAAGGTCATTTGTATCCCATGTTAAATGCATCCAGCCGTTCCCCGCGCTCTATCAAGCTAACCGGAGTAATGGCGTGGCTCGATAAAGAACGCGCTCGGCCGGGATAGAGGCGATAAAGCGAGCAACGTGCACGCCGGAGATTTAAGCGCGGCAATTAAGCAACCATCTCGGGCCGAACTCGCGTTTCCACGATACACTTGTCCCGATAGGGGATCCCCCGCGCGTCGCGGGACTCCCTCGCGTAATTGGACGAATGTATTTCGCGCCGGGACGCGCATTCTTCCCTTCGATCGCGATACCCGCGCGGCCCCGACGAGGACTCTCTTCGCGACCCGCCGACCGGGGACACCGTGAATCTCGAATCGAGAACGAATGCGACTTCGCTGAATTCCAACTTATACGACAACGGCTCGCGACTTCTCCTTAGTTATGGTCTACTTAAATATCTGCGAAATCTTGATACTGGCTCTCGTTACTCGGAAAGTGAACTCTCGTTCGGAGGAAGTCATTAACATTAGGTTTAAGGACGTTCCTTCTACACTTTCCTCTATTGTTCCTAGAAAACTGAGTTCGTATATATGTCGCGAGGTAGCTTGGAAAGTAGACTATCGCGACGCGTATTCGCGTAGTTGCACGAATCAACGACTCGAACTATTAGGGAGCAATGTTTAAAACGTTCAGTATCAAAGCGACGAGTTCCGTGAGTCTGTTGATCCAAAGAACCTTCAGAAACCATGGCATTCATGGAAGAGAAAAGTGAACGAGAGCCAACGAATTCCCAAAAAGATAACAGTGCTACAAAATGACATGAAAAAAGCAGCGAGGAAAGTTGCAGAACGTGCAGCAGAAAGTGGCAAACCGGTCCCGCGCGTTTAGTCGCACTCGAAATTCCGCGGTTCCGGCGTGTGCAGTCGGCCGCGCGAGCGAAGCCGGTGCGCGCGTAAACCGAACGGATGGGCGTTGATACGCGAACGCGGCGGCGAACGGAATCAAACGGGGAAAAGCTACGCGGCGGCAATGATATTGGCAAGTCGGAGCCACCGGGAATATTTGGCAAACAATCATCGACGCGAACGGAACGGGATGCACGCGCCCCGCCGTGTCGAAATTGATTAACAGACGACGCGATCTCGTATTGGACGGCGGCGCGAGTCTCGAGGAAACCGGGCAAAATTTCGAGCCGCTCGGCGGGACGATTTATCGCGCGCAAACGTGTCCCCTTCCCGGCGCTCGTGCACCGTTGCTCGGCCTTTTAAATCACGCGGACACGTACTACGCACTCCAGATTCGCGATTAACAGCGTCATTCATTGCGGGCCGTCGCGCCGCGCCGCGCCACGCCGCGCCACGCCGCGGTCGGCCTTCTTCGTTCATTCATTCTCGGCCGGTGACGTAACAAATATTGTCGGCCGTTTCGTTCCAGATGAAAAGCGAGCCCCGCTGAACACGCGGCTCGCTTCGCCTCGTTTCCCGCTGCGCGCCACGGAACGTCTCGATTGTGTACACCTCGGGACGGGCTGACAGATTCTCAGAAAAATGGCTCGTCCACGGATGGAATCGGTCCTCGGGGATTAATCGATACTGGGTGGGACGGGATTAGCATTTAAAGGAGTGGACGTCATCCGAGCAGTTCGTCGCCGAGGATTTAACGCCTGCCTGGCACGTCAACGCGCGCGAATGACGCGGCTTTCGGTCTGAAATTAGAATGCCATCGTGGTTGGTTCCTTTTCTTTTCGTGCGTTCGGATGGTGTGTCTTCTTTGGATTCTAATGTGTTGGACCTTTCTCTTTCTGTGACTTTTGTAGTTGTTCTTTTGTAAATATGAACTTAAAGCGGATATACGGTAAAGGTACCAGTGATTGACCTTAGTGACCATTTTTTAAGGAAACGGATAGAAAGGAGATTTTTCTTGGCTCTTCTACTATTGGTGCTTTTACCTTACATCTCTGTTCATTGATTTTGAACACGTCAAACCAATAGTATCATAGAGAATTAAAAGCGAAAAAGTTGAAGAGATCATTTGGATCCTTATGGACGACTAATAGATTTGAAGCGCGTTCACCGATGGCAAAGGAGTAGTTCGATTCGCGACACGAGAGGACATGCTTCGGAAAGTCGGGTCGTTCCGAGGTAACAGCTCCAAAATCGCGACTCGAAGAACGCAGTGCACATCGGGGGTTGCGTAGGTGTGTCGCGACGCGCTTTCTCGATACGCGAGCTAAAGAAGCGAAACGTGGGGACAGGGCGGCCGCGCAGCGCGCTCGAACAATACTCGATTTATTCGTCGGAGATCGAACAGCCGCTTTCTAGTCGCATGCTTTCCAACCGGCCATTAACGCGTTGAATATCGAACGATTTCACGGAACTACGATGGCGAAGTGAAAGAAATATCATATCGAATTATTTCATCGAGAAATCTGTCGTCAGACATTTCAAAATAAATTCCTACATTTCTGCAAATGCGGCGATAGCTCTTCGAATCTCAGGAAATTGACTTTCCTAACTTTTGTAACGAATTAGAAATAGCTCGGTCTTACTGCTCGGCCTTTGCACTCCAGAGGCTCTAAGACACCAAATGACTTGACACAGCAAAATTGTGAACTTTGATATTTAATATTAAACTTTGCATAATGCATCAATGTACGAGATATTGAAAGAAAATAGTTCTCTTCCTCAATGCACGTGAGATTTCCTAATTCAAAAAAAAATTCGAAAAACTTCTGGAGTGCAAAGGGTTAAATCCTGAACCGTTTGCCCGCGCAACGACGAACGACGATAACACGCGTTCAGGGAATCGGTTCTTGTCCGCCGAGCGAGGTCCGTTCGTCAGGGCCAAGCGGAGAAGCCGCGCGGATCTCGGCCGATAAATTCGTCTATTTGCCGGGCCGGTCGGCGACGATTAAAGGGGATTCCCGGATCTCGCGACGAACCGTCGAGAATTCTCGCCCGTCCACCCACAGCCGCGATATCTTCGTTTACCGAGAACACAGCGACCGATCGGGAGAAGCGGCTGACCGAGAAACGGACAGGACCGACTTCGCGGGCAGATACACGGGGAATGCAAGGACACGTCTTCCCTCTGTTCAGCGTTTCGCGAAAATGCTCGCGGAGAGCGGAATGTTCCGTCCGCGTCGTACAATGAATCTCGAACAATCGTGGGTGCAACTAGATCGTGAATCCGCGGGCGATTCTCGATTTCCGTGGGTTACTTTCGTGAAAACCGGATCGAGGGAGAAATTTCTTTGAGGAATTCCTGGTGTAAAAGTGAGATACACTATCACTGATTAGTAAGGTTTAAGCAAATTTGAGATAAAACGTAGATATTTAGAAGACTAACTCGCAAAGGGATGATTCAATTACTCGAACAGCAAGAGATCAGTACGTAGTTTCATTGTTTTTCAATTATTTAAGCAACCGATGTATAATTTCTAATTTCCAACGCGTAAACGAACGAATATCTACACTGTCTTGCATTTTACAAACCGGATTAACAGAAGTAATCGCTGTAGCGCGTTAGTGGTCTAATTTCGAGGAAAAACGAAATCGTTCGAGTTCGATCGGTATCCGAGAGCGTCGACGTTCTAACCCGTTTTAGAAAACGGAAACACTGTTGGAAATTGATTGGTTAAGAACCACTGAAATCCCCTGTTCGAACAAACAAGCCTATACGAAGATAACAGGATCCATTATAGGATCAAGATCCAATTCACGGTGACGTGTCATGCGTGTAATCCATATGCTCCCGAGCGTTCCGTCCGCTTCCCGGCTTCGTTAACCCGCGAACCGGTTGATTTTTCACTCGCGAAGATTTACAAAGTAATAAATATGAATACGGTATTATTTTATATTAAGCCGTATTATTAATACTGGTAAGAGCGGAATCAAATTCCCCATATAAATATGTACTTCCTGACAAACAGGTCATTCCGCGGCTCGGATCCCTCTGGTTCTCCGGCCGGCTTATATCATGCGTCATGTTTCTAGCCTTACCTCATTTAGATAATCCAATTTACAACCCGAAGAATCCCTGGTAAGAGGGCCCTGAGCTCTCAGGAACAGGACACCATGCTAAAGGGACCTAGGAGAAAAACGAAACGTTCAGTATCGCTGTGTCTAAAGCGGAGCCTACTAATTATAAGTGGCGTCTTATCGGCGAGTCTACCAGCTGGATCGGACGATAATAACATCAACATGCAGGTTACTCGTATATTAACAATAGTCGACGATTATATTCGTAGCTTCGCGAAATAATTGAAACTTTCGAGCAACTTCGAAAGATCACGTCTTACCGTGCGACACACGTTATCGAATATTAAAGTCTCGAATTTAATAAAGTATCATTAATAAAGTATCAAAGTTATCAAATATACTCTCGTGTTACGCGAACAAAGTTTCCAAACATCTTTCATTACGAAGTTTCGAGCAACCATAACCGTCGGGATACAATTATTTTAATCTGATACAAGTGTTATACGTCGGTTACCCATGAAAACGTAACACAGTTGTATCGATGACACCATCGAAAAAGGACCGCCAGCCACTCCGTCCCCGAGTAGCGTGAAAAATCAGATCACGTCTCGGGTGAGAATAATGTAACGCGAATAATAACACTGGCATGATCGCGTGCGAGGGAAAAACGGACGGGCGGGGGAGAGGAGAGGAGATAAGGCTCGGAAATCGTGGCGCGTTTTCACGGCGCTTATCGACTCGCGCAAAAAGAGCGTTCCCCGGCGAGCAAGATTCGCAGCGCGTCTCGTGGTGTCGGGGCAGATACGCCCGGCGACGAGACGGCTCCATCGTTCCGGCCGCTTTATAAATCGAGAACCGTGTCGATCGCTTCGCGTGAAACGAGCGAGCGATCGAGCAATCTCCGAGCACGCCTCGCCACGGATCGGTCGAAATCCGTTTCCCCGTCGCCGTTGATCAGCGCTGATGGACCATCGAATCTCGGTATCCCAAGTGATTCGAAGCGGCTGGATACCGTGAATGTTCGAGATACATCGGATATGATTCGAATCTATAATGGGTTTGAAAGAGTCTTAGTAAGTTCTGAGCCTTGAGTGATTCGCTGGAACTAGAGAGTGTTGAAAATTTTTGAAAACCTTGGTGGTTTTGAATGGCGTTGAATGTCTTGAGAGTCTTGGTAGTTTTGAATAGTCTTGAATGTCTTGAAAGTTTTGAAAGCCTTGGTGGTTTTGAATAGTCTTGAAAGTCTTGAAAGCCTTGGTAGTTTTGAATAGTCTTGAATGTCTTGAAAGTCTTGAAAGCCTTGGTAGTTTCGAATAATCTTGAATGTCTTAAAAATCTTGGTAGTTTTGAATAATGTTGAATGTCTCGAAAGCCTTGGTAGTTCCGAATGCTCTCGAAGTCCTTGAGACCTCCTAAAACTCTCGAAAGTCTTCGAATCGTATTCGAACGACATTCAAGGCGAGTCGAATATCCCGCGACTTGTTCAGATTCGCAGCGATTCGCACCGCTTCAGTGTCCATCACTACCGGCTAGACTCTTCCTCCGCCTCTCCCTCGAACGAAGAATCCGCCCGGCGTGACGGATCGGCCGCGTCAGCGCGGCGATTCGCGGCGATCCGTCCTCGATATTCCGCGAGTTTTTTGTCCGCGGCGAGAGAGGGACGGGCACGGAGCTATTATTCACGGGAATTTATTAATACACCGCGTGTAACTCGAATTCGACGGTGCTATTAATTTTCTGGACCGCGTGCAGGGAAAACAGGGGGGGTGGAAACCTCGGAGGAGAGTTGTCGGCCGCGAAAATTGACTGGCATCGCGTTAATCCTGTCCGTATCCGTCGAGTACGCCTTCCCGATCGTCGGATCTATCGCGGGGATCGACAGGGCGAGCGAGAACGGCCCCGGCACGAGAAATCGCCGCTCGTAAATCACCGAGTCACCCCGTGCCTGCCTTCCTTGCCTGCTCGCTCGCCTGCCTTGCCTGTCTCGCCTGCTTTGCCTGCCTTCCCTGCTCGCGGTACGTGCGCGCGTGAGTTCCGCGCGCAAACATTCGCGTTTTTTCTCCCCCGGTGCGTGCACGCGCGAACTCCGCGGAAAACACGAGGGTGCAGTGGCGTACCGTCCCTGAAACCGTCGCCTCGCGACGACGATACAGCGGAACGTCGATCGTCCGGAATATCCAGATTCGTCCCGACAATCGATTCTTCGGACAGCCGGAAGTACATCGGAAAACACGAACGACGACGGAAAGATCGGCGTCCCAAAATATAAACGTTGTCGCGTAGTCTCGAGCCGTGACTCATCGAGCTCCGATACTACCTAGGTAAACGCGAGGAAATTGCAGCACGTGTCACGCATCGATTACCCACGTGATCGTGCGCCGGAGAGATAAATGCCGGCGCCAATGCGTGAGCGACAAGGGCTGAAGGCCGCGGGGAGGTGAACAGGGGAGCCGGCCGGCCGGCCGGCAGGCAGGCAGTTATCCTGTAGGAAACGAATAAATTAGAGGTGGCTTATCAACGAGTCCTTGATAGGCGTGCGCGCCGCGCCGGGTCGACCCGGTCGGCCGCGGCCGAGGGGATGGACGTGTTCTCCGCGAGAAAAGGGGACAGCGCGCTGGGACGTGTTAATCGAACGGCCGTGGATTTATGGCCACCGGGAGCCCACGGGAAAGGTGGAAAGGAGGGACTACCCACGCTGTCTTTGCGCCAGCGACGTACGCTCCTCGTACGCGACCGATCCGAGAAGGGATAGACACGGCGAGCGAACATTTTCTGCGCCCGATGGGACGCGTGCGATCGGGGGTGCAATAACGGACATCCTCCGGCGGTCGAGAATCGATACCACGACGCGATCCCATTTGCCGATCGAATTTTAACCCTTTGCGGACGAAGGTTGCTTGAAATATACGAAACCAGCTTTAGTCGATTGCTTAAACAATAGGAGAAGTGGGAGCTGCGTGACGTGTCCTGCTGTTTGAGTGATTAAATCATTCGTTCGTGACTTTGGGAAAGTTAAATAAAGGGTTAACCTTTACGAGAAATATTTTGTCAACAGGAATGTTCGAGGTAATTAGTTTCTGTGTTGTTCCCATTCTTGTGGAATAATTTGTTCGCTGGACGAAGGTCAGGACTTTTAGGAAGACATTTTTTGGAAGCTTGGGAAATTATTGGAAAAAGTGAAACTTTTGAGGGTTTCGAGGGAAAAACATTTGTCGATGCGAATGCAATTTGATAATAGACAACAAACTTGGAAAATGCGAATTTTAGAAAGTAATGCGAATACATTCATTTTGCTTGTTTTATTAATATCTACAGTGTCCCATAATTCTACAACTTTATCCGCTGTACACGTAAATTGCTATTCATTCTATTCCGCAAAGTGTGCTAAGGGTTTCCCCGGCGCGCAAATAAACGAACGTTTGAGAAGCGAAGCGAAATGGCGTATTTTTGTAGCCTGAAAATACGGCGTTTCAAAGGGCGGGGAGTGCATCGTCAGCGGTGCGCCGCAGGGTGTGAGGACAATTTCCGTTTTCCGCGTCCAAATAGACTGTTTATATGGAAAGGACGTATCTGGGTTGAAGCTACTTGACCCCTTCTGGCGCGACGCGTAGCCAGCACCAACCTAGAATAAATGATGGGGTGAAAATGGTGAAAATAGAAAGCGCGCCCGGTAACTGGTCGAATACTCTTTTTATTCTCCTTCCCCGAAACACTGCCACTCCTCGTCGAAATGAGATTTACAAATTTATCCGGACGGCGCTGTCGGTTCGCAAACATGTTTTCATTTACAACTCCGATAATCGCTTCTCCGATCCTAATTACCTTCCGCAACAGCTGTATTTCGATTAATTTCACGGAAACACGAGCTAACGATCGTATCGAAGTAACATTCATCGATTTCCACGATAGACTACTAGAAAATTGTTCTTACAGAAACACTACTCACACACTTTCGTTCATCCGTTCAACCCTTTGCACTCAGAAGTTTTCCATTAGAAATATTGAACGTCTTCTAATGAGACAGAGAGGATATTTTGTGAAACCAACTCGACGAGAAGTCATTTTGTGAAACCAACTCGACGCATTGTACGAAGTTTAATATTAAGTATCAAATTCTATAGTTTTACTGTATGAAATCAATTGATGAGAGGCACCTCTCGAGTGCAAAAGGTTAATCCTCATCGAACGGGTGAAAACAGTCCTCGGGGAGACATATTTGATCGATACTTTGAAGACCACAGGGGCGGAATATTGCACACGCTCGACTCGCATACTTCTAATAAAACACCTATTCATGAACCTAGAAACTACCAAACGAGAACTACGAATACATCCGAGAAAATTCAATTTCCGCCCGTAAAGAGTTGCTCGCTGAAAAGTGGACGAAAAACTTCGCGGCAGCGATTTTCTCCGGGACTACTTTCCAGCGGACTCCGGTGAAAAGCTACGCACACCGATTCGTTGCATCCCCTGCGATCGATAGGCGGGGCAACGACACGCGCACGGTTGTAATTAGCCGGCAATTACGTCCGCCGCGTGAAAGCGCGCGTCGCGTGGCAAGGAACCCGGGAAAATCCGCTCGCGGAGCACGACACAGAGATCTCTCTCGTCCCGGCGATCGACCCTGACCGAATATCGAGGTCTTTTCCCGGCGACGTAATTTTCAGCGACTCGGGAATGCCGTTAAGACGGCGTTAAGAGCATTTCTGTGCCGCGCGCGCGCGCGCGCGTGGTCACGGTTTCGCGGTCGCGGGGCTCGTAAGCCGGGCATTACGAGGCAAGAACGCGCGGACGGAACTTGGCAGTCATCGTGTTCCCGACAAAACGTCGCGTTTCGACGCGCCTCCATCCAATCGCAGTCTGATTGGCCGTACAGTTACATAACCGTTCGAGTGGCGCGGATCTTGGCAAAAGTTCGCTCGAAAATCGGCAGGCATCGCGCTATCAACTCGGAAACGGAATTACGCTTCCCATTTTCGCTGAGAAAAGTGTTAAACGCTACGATCGTTGCCATACTGTATCCATAAGCGAGCTAAAAATAAGAAACTAAGTGAACGACTCGAAGCGAAACAAATAAATAAACTCGTTCTATGAATCGATAGACCGGCA